GACATTGGATAGAGTAGGAGTTGTACTAGATTACATCAGAGAAAAGCCTTCTAAGGCTTTTGAATAATTTTCAAATAAAATTTGAAAAGAATAGATATTCTAGAATAATTGAGTCTTCTAATGTATGAAAATAGAATATTTCACCATTTAGGTCTTATTTGTCTCAGCAGGATTTTATAATTTTAGATACATCTTTTAAATATAGTTTCTTAAGTATATTCCTCAGTTTTTGTCATGTTCTCATATTTAAAGTTTTTTCATTTATAATGAAATGATAAGATACTGAGGAATTATAGATTTTTGCATATCTATTTTTTATTCTGTGCCTTTGATAATTATTATTTAGTGAATTTATGGATCTCAGAATGTAAGACTATCCCATTTATGATGGGGGAATGTCTTTCTGTACGCCATGAATATGTGTTGCTCTGATTGGTTGATAAATAAAGCTGTTTGGCCTATGGCAAGGCAGCTTAGAGGCAGGTGGGAAATTCAAAGAGAGAGACAGGGAAATTCAAAGAAGGCAGGGAGAGACACCAGTGTGCCGCCCAAGGAGCAACATATAATAGGATGCAGGTAAATCCATGGAACATGTGGTGATACATAGATTAATAGTTATGGGCTAATTTAAGATATAAGAGCTAGCTAACAAAAGGCTTGAGCCATGGCCATGCAGTTATAATTAATGTAAGCCTCTGTGTGTTTACTTGGGGGATGTGAGTGGGAGAGATTTGTCCCAACCACTGGCAGGCCAGAACACAGGAAATCTGACCACATTTATACATATATAATATTATTTTTCCCCACTGAAGGTTTTCATTTTATATTCTTGTCTTATTGAATTGGCTACAGTTTCTAATACGTTGTTCAATAGAAGCATTCAGAATAGATATCTTTCCCTCAATTCCCAAATAAGAAGGACATTAGTTAGTCTTTCATTAATAAATTTGATGGTATTTAGTGTTAGTTTATATATATATATTATTTATCAGTTTAAGGAAGACTTGTTTTGTTTCTAGTTTTCTCAGAGTTCTGAATCAATGGATGTTTGTTTATTTCCAATGTCCTTCATGATCCTCTAGAAATGGTCAATAGTTTTCCCTTTTGATCCTGTTAACATGCTGAATTACCTGATTTATCTCTTAAGGTTGTCAGCTTTGCATTTCTAGGATAAATCATAATACTTTAATTATGAATTCCCCTTGATTTCTGCTGGATTTAGAACTTATGTTCTCCTGTGCTCATTACAATATTGCTAAGGAGATTTATTTTCCAGTAATGACGTTGGTGTAGAGATCATTTTGACCTAATGAAGTTAATTTGAAAGTCTTCCCTTCTCAACTTACTAGAAGACGAGAAGTGTAGGTTCCCATGATTTTTTTTAACTTAAATATTTGATAGGATATATAAGGCAAGCCATCTGGATCTGCAGTTCTCTGTGTAGGAAGGTTTTAGCTATGAATTTCATTTGTTTAACATACATAGGGGTATTCAGTTCCATTTGCTTTTGAATTAATTTAGGTACTTCTTATTGTTCAAAAGATTTTTTTCATTTTATCAGGTTCACCAAATGGTTTCTTTGCTAAGGTATTTTAAGTTGTTCTCTGAAATTCATAATTAAAATAAAAATTTAATTATACCTCTACTTATAATGGGTAAGGTATATAAGGGAATGAAGCCAAACTTGTTGGAATGTAATTTTGTGCCAAATGAAAGCAATAGTTTTAATTCTTCTACATTTTGACTTAGAAATTCCAACTGTAGAAATTTATTCCTGAAAAATAATTGTGTGTGTATTTATAAATATCTAAGAGTACTTATGGTATCTTTTTAAAACAAAAAACATGGAAAACCACATAAACTGATAAACATAATGTTTGTCAATGAAGAATAGAATATCAATATAATTGAATATTATATAAAAGAAGAGGTACAATAATACATTTTTATGGAACTATGTCTTTTATATGTTGTTAAGTGAGAGGGGAGAGGTTGTGCAACAGATTTCCTCAGCACTCTCTTTAAAGGAATATGGAGATCCATAGTTAGAAATTTTCTCTAAAATTACGTGTCAAGCTGGTTGGGCTTTAGCAATTTAAAAAATCAGGAAGGAAAATTATTCCCAATTTATCCCCTTAGGTGCCAATTGACATTTCAGAGTGAATAGGCATACTTAAAATGAGAACCTAAACTCAGACAAATGTTTTATAATGCACACATTTTCTGCGCTCTCCAGCACCAAACAGATTTCTGATTTGCATTTTGTCAGTTCTTCCAGGTTGTGAGCATAGCTGTCTGCAGAGGCTTCCTTCTGCTCTCCCCACTTGGAAGTGGTCCAGCTGGGGATTCAGCAACACACCGTAAAAAAGTGATGCTGAGAGCCTTGCCGGAGCACATGCTGATGTACATATATTTAGAAGAGGGAAAACCCAAGACATTCTACAGAGTGGAAGGAGACTTGTTGGCAGAACTTCTCTACAGTATCCTGAGGGTCACAGTACTAGCTGCAAGACCCACTGGAGAACAGATGTGCTGGGGTCCAGCCTTGGCTCGGGTGCAGGGAAGGGGTGTCGGCACAAGGGAGAAATCTGACCACCAGGTGGATTGCACTCAAGTGGCCCCAAATAGCCCAAGTTGTCTTTATACTTAAACAGAATTTTCCTTACCAGGGTTACATGAACAGCTTTATTACTGGCTTCTATTTCTGACTTTAAGAAATACATCATTACATCACATCTTAAGGAATACATCGTAATCATTATGAAAGCTACCATTGTTCCCCTTTGTGCTTCCCCCAGTACACTTTCCCACACCCTACATAACCTTATTCTAGACACAGAGTTCAGCCTTTTTGAAGGCTTAACTAAATATGGAGCCAGACACATCCTGCTCTCACAGCACTTATGTCAGCTGGCAGCTACTTGTGGTTACAAAGTTAAAAAGTAATAGACATGGATACAATTCTTTCATATCTGCAAGATATGCTTTTACATGGCTCCCTTTTCTACAAGAGGGTCTCATGTCTCAATCTCTGTGAAAGGCAGACTTGGATAAGGCATTCTTTTCTCATCTCACCATACCATACTTCTTCCACCAATATAAGCTCCTGTGTATGGTAAAAGATGGATCTTTCCATACCATATTTTACATTGCATTTTTTCCCAATGGGCCATGCTAGATCCTATCACTGATTCTATATGCTTGGTGTCCAAAGCAAAGGGAACTTACTCTCAACAGTTGGCATTATTGTGTACTCCTGAGGCTTTTCCCCATTCTGTGTATGCATGTCTTACTCTCCTTTCCAAAACTGAGACATGGTTAATGTTCCAAATGTTGTTTTCTCATATGTATCTAACTGTCTCTATTGAGTCAGAAAATTTCCCAGGATTAGTAGTTGTAGTTAGTTAATTCCAGATAAGAGATTTGAGAAACATTAGCCCCCTGCTGAATCTTAGGGGGAAATATTTGAGAAAGAACAGAATTTCAAGATAGTAGAAATCTGATTATATAAATCAAGAATATTAATATCCAAACCAGAACTATTCCAAATTCCCTTAATATGTGCCTGAATCTGCTTCCAAGAAAAATCAGTGTCATTACATGGCAAAGGAGTAACACAGATCCATTTATATGCTGCATGACAAGAGGCCATGAGTCTGACGTTTGTATTTTGAATTTGAGTGTCCATATATAATATAGCCTCTTTTAAAACATTAACCCATCCACTAACCCTTTATCTATACTTTCAGGTATAGCAAGTATCAGAGAAACATTTTTGGATAAGTTATTAACATGATCACCTGTATGTACTTTCTGTACCGGAGCAGTGGTAGATGTTGCCATAGAAGCTACAATAGATATTAGGGCAGTAATACCCCAAATCAAAGCTGCAACAAATCGCTTTGGACAAGAAAGAGCTTGGGAAACAGTCTCCATGGCATAAGTACCAGGATCATCAAACCAAGGTAACGGTAAGTTTACAAGCAGCAAAACAAAAGGAGGTTGTCTAACAATCAGGAAATTACCTGGAGTAAAAGTATGATCAATATAATTAATAATAACATAACTAATACAGGAAATGTTGTAAGTAGAGTTTGTTTCTATAATATGTAAAATTGTTCACCCCAAATCTCCACCTATTAGTACAGCAAAAGAGGCAGCAACCCCGGCCTGAAGGTCACTTATGACTGTGGAGGATTGCGGAGGCTTTTTAATACAAGTATAATTGGTGACCGCAAATAACTGGTATAAATGTCTTTGAAGAATAGGATGAGGTGAAAGTTTGGCCAAAACCATGGGGACAACCCATCCAGGTGAAAACCAATGAGTAATAAGTTGTCCTGCTACTAAAAATTGTTTGTTCCACTGAGGAAATCTGTGTCTATTGGCAGTCAGAAATTATTTATCATCATGAGCGGGACTAGAAAAGACCAGTCATAATTTTTATCTTGGATGTCCTTAGGGGAATAAACAACACCCTTTTCAGAAAAAAACATAAGGAAGCCAATTTGGGTACCCCATAACAGGACCACCTCCCACGGATGGTTGTGTTTGCCCTGGGGCAAGCAATAAGGAACCTCTTGGGTTGGTCTCTTTTTAGTAGTAGCCGTTTAAGTGGGGAGGGTTTCATCAGCTCCTTAGACAAAAGAGAAAAGCCAAAGTTCCCCTTTATCATCCTTACTTCCTCTAGAGGAGTCAGCCACCAATGCCCTATATGAGAGGGAAACTGCTGTGGGATGTTCCAGCTACAGGAAACACATCCAGGCTCAGGAGTGATATCAGCTGAGAAGCAGATAGGCAAAGATCTTCATGTCCTGTATGGTTTAGGAGACCAGAAATCTTAATATGAACAAAAGCATCTCTATCTCCCCACATCAGTTTAGAATCATTAACCACCATTCTCACTTCCTCAAAACCCCAAGCTGCAGGGTGAAACAGAGGTGGCTCTGTGATGTGAGTTATTCCTGAGCAGCACATATTGATAATAAAGATAGCAGTACCTGTATGGAGAGCAGAGAAATCAGCCCAAAATAGAGAAGGAGGAGTGGCTTTACCACCTTGATCAATCACAAGATCCTCAGTTGTATGTCCTGGGTTTGGAACTTAACATCCCAGCCCTTCTGTTGAATGTGTGACAAGGGGTGATGCAATCATCTACAACCACTTCCTGCTGACATCAGGGTGTCGTTGGGGACCCAAAATGCTGGAACATTGACCAAATCCCGGAAGAGCAGGCTGTTTTATTCACTGTCCAGGTACTGTAAGACCATCTGGGGCTAGGGATGTGCTGTCAGTAGCTGGAGCAGTCTACAGTCTTTGATTGATTGGAAGTCTGCTAGAACAGACATACATTAAGGGCAGGAAATAAAGTGAAGGACTTTTAGGGGGGAGCTTTTCTTAAGTGTACATTTGAAACCTCCAGGTCCACAGTCCTGGAAGCTGGGAGAGGGGTGTCTCAAAAATTAGGGAAAGGGGAAGAGGTCCCATCTCCCTAGGAACAGGCAGGTGGGGGAACGGGTTGTTGATTGGCAAAACTTGTCTGAAGTCTAGTTTGACCTGTGAGAGGTGGATCCAAGTTGATCTGAACCTTACAAAAACCATTTATTTATTTATTTGTTTGTTTACAGGCAAAAGTTTCAGATATGCTAGCATATTAGCATTATCATTGTTTGTAGTCTGTACTGGAATTCACACTATAGAAAAGGCAGTAGACTCATGCATTTGAGTCATAGTAAAAGTTTGTGAACCTAAAAGTAATTTTGGTTAAGAGCATTAAAAATTATTTTTATCTAGAAGACTGGGTGTATATAGCTTAGACAAATGTTTTTAGTACAATGAGAAGCATTTTTAACTGTATCTTCAGATAACAACCAAAGGAAAATTTAAAGTATTGATCTTGTAACTATGATAATAATAGTCAGTGTTCATCAGAGTTAGATTAATAGCTTATCAGAACTGTATTGATTATTGCTAGAACTCTGAACTTTTGAAGTTTTAATATAACACTAGCATAGTGAGGGAAAGAAATATGAAACATTTTAATATACTTTAACCCATCTTTTTATACCCTTATAAATTAAATGCGCATACCTCAATGTAGATTGAGGTATGTGGATTTTTAGAACCTTTATGGAACCTCGCCACCCAAGCCTTCGTGTCCTCAGACCTCTATAACTTGTATTTGCATACCTTACGTTATATTTCTTAGACCTTAGAACAGCTGTTTAGATCCTTACAGTTTATGTTTTTATATTATTAGAACTTACATAAAAGCTTTACACTTTTTTTTATCCTGTTGTTTACTATGAGACACAGGTGGTTGATTACTGAAGCAGTTATTGAAAGTAAGTTACTTGAAATAAAGGAGTAGTTAAAAAAAAAGTTACTTTGAAAACTCTTTGGTGAATTTATCTCTTTTTGGAATCTGGTAGCAAAGCAAATTGTTTTCAGACCTTGTAGTAGCTTTAAGGAAGTGAGGCTGGCCTATGGCTTGAACTTACATAAAAAGAAAACTGAGAAAGCAGTTGAAGCATGGGAAAGGAACTGGGTGCTTGTTTCTCTTAAAGCCACAGTTAGTCAAAATCCTCAGTGATCTGAAGAGAACAAATTATAGCTGGAAATATAATCTAAATGGTTTATGTATCAACTAAAATGACAGTGGCCCATTACCTAGATGGGTTACTCCAGGCTCTGGTGGTCTCCATAGTTTCATTGAGGGCAGTGGTTGTACGCAAGTCTTTGACTGTCATACAGAATAGCATAGGCCTTTGGTTGCCAGAACCAGGTCTGAGATTTTTTTCTATAATGGAGCAATTTAAGAGATTGACCTCACTTTGACCAGGTAAAACAGGGTGGTCAACCCAAAAGTATCCACAGTTTGAGCAAAGCTCTGGCAACAAGTGATGCATGGGGCAGTTTCACCCAGGGGTTAGTGTTTCCATAATCCAAGTGGGGCTATCCTGCCCAATTAATTTTTTATTTTGATTTTGGATACCTTAAGGGTTCCTACTAAGAAGAGACAGTTTTGTCTATTATTTTAAGCTTGAACATTTTAAATGTCATATTTTGCAGATCTCTGAGGCATAAATCTGAATAAAAACTTTGTTCTTAATTATTTACTTTAGGCTTAACTTTAAAAATTTATACAGAGGGCTAAGTAAGGTTTATTTTTATAATAATTAATTACAATGGCATTTAGCATGACTATAAGCATAATTTTGAACATATTAAAGAATTTGATCATTTATAAAGTGACTAACCATTAACTTGTATTTTTAATTATCTTCAACAGTTTACAATAAGTTAATAGCTTTTTATAAGACTAGGACTTTATGTTCCATCCTTGTTAAGTTTAGTCATTAAAAATAATGACTTTGAACTGAAGCTTTTCTAGTGTCAAAATAAAACCTGTAATCATAGATATAGTTCATAGGGAGACTGGCGAGCTTACTGATCCCTTTATAGTGCACCAGGAATAAAAATGGGCCAAAGAAACCAAATCGGCCACCACATTGTTGAGAAGGGAAATTACTAAGGCTGTCTCTCAAGAAGGCAAGAAGAAATGACAAAGGAAAGACTTTGGGGCTTAAATGAGAATTAGAGAGTGCAGACAAGTTTCAGGAAAGAGCTGAGAACAGTTATGAGGAAGCAGAGGATGTAAATGTCTCGGTAACAAGAATTTCAAGCTGGGACATCTCCAAACAGACTGAAAGACCTGTCAGAGAGAAATGTCCCCAATCACAGAGGAAAGGCATCCCTTTCCAAGTGATGGGGGCCCAGTAAGGCAAAAGGAAGCTTCCTGGCATGCTGGCATGGCTTTCACAGTGAAAGTAAACAAAGCAGAGAGCTCCATAGTGACACCCCACCTAATAGGAAAGGGGGGACAAGTGCTTAGAGCAGGAACGGGAGGAAACAGCTGGAGAGATGAGTTAGTGACATTGTCCCAAGTGTTGCAATTAAAGTAAGGGTAGAGGATTGCCTACTGGAGTTTCCAGTTTAGTGTCAGGGACCTGGCATGGCACCTTAGATACTGTCAACAAGGCTTCCTTTGTTAATTTCAGCCAAGTGGCCACTATAAGCCATTTTCCGACACCCATAAGCGTTTTGTAAGTTAACTCTTTCTGTTCTTTCCCCGTTGAATCACTCTGCTAGTGGGCTTGATGCACAACAACAGGAAATCCCACCAACCCCTTTTTACATTTCTCAGGGGGTCATGTGGAATGATTCACAATTAGTCATTGCAGGGGGTACCAATCAGAATTATGATACCTTGTTGCTTCCTTCTCAGATCCTGAATGAGATAACAAGGGTATTCCCACCACAGGAAACCAAGCACAAACTTTCTGAATAAACTGTAAAAACTCTATGACTTGACTAGTAGAAACTTTTAAATCTTTTGCTTTAACAATATGCTTACCTTTTCCACAAATATAAGCTTCTGTGTAATGTAAAAGATGGATCTTTCCATACCATATTTTACATTCCATTTTCCCCATTGGACCATGCTAGATCCTATCATTGATTCTATATGCTTGGTGTCCAAATCAAAGGGAACTTACTCTCAACATGGCACTATGTGTATTCCTGAGGCTTTCCCCCTATTCTTTGTATGCATGCCTTACTCTACTTTCCAGAACTGTGAGACATGGTTAATGTTCCAAGTGTTGTTTTCTCATATATATCTACCTGTCTCTATTAATGTAAAGAGTAGCTTCCTTTGAACCACACTCTTCCATTTCTATTGGAACAGGGCACTGAATTCTCAAAAGTTCTTTGATTACCTGTCCTTCCCCGAAACCAGGGGCTCTTCTGGTGGGTCTGCAGCACCCTTAGACAGGATCCTCTCCCCTTCAGTCCCAATACATACCACCTTCAGGTCCCTGTTTGGGCACCACCCTGCCAGGGGTCAGCCTTGGCTTGGGTTCATGTTCTGAGGTGGGGAAGCGGTATTGGCACAAGGAAGAAATCTGACTACCAGGTGGATTGCACTCAAGTGGCCCCAAATAGCTCCAGCCATCTTTATTTGTACTTCAACAGACTGTTCCTTACCAAGGTTACATGAGCAGCTTTATTATTGGCTTCTATTTTTGACTTTAAGAAATAGGTCTTATTTTAAGGAATACATTGTAATCATTAAAAAGTCCCCACTGTTCCCCTTTGTGCTTCCTCCAATATACTTTCCCACACCCTATATAGCTTTATTCTAGACAGAGTTCAGCTGGCAGCTACTTGGGGTTACAAAGTTAAAAAGTAATAGACATGGATACAATGGTTTAAGGACAACAATATTCAAACCCAAACAATTCTTTTATGTCTGCAAGATATGCTTTTATATGGCTCCCTTTTCTACAAGAGGGTCTCATGTCTCAATCTCTCTGTGAAAGGAAACCTTTGATAAGGCACTCTTTTCCCATCTCACTATACCATACTTCTACCAATATAAGCTCCTGTGTATGGTAAAAGATGGATCTTTCCATACCATATTTTACATTGCATTTTTTCCAATGGGCCATACTAGATCCTATCATTGATTCTATATGCTTGGTGTCCAAAGCAAAGGGAACTTACTCTCAACAGCTGGCATTATGTGTATTCCTGAGGCTTTTCCCCATTCTGTGTATGCATGTCCTGCTCTCCTTTCCAGAAATGTGAGACATGGTTAATGTTCCAAATGTTGTTTTCTCATATGTATCTAACTGTCTCTATTGAGTCAGAAAATTTCCCAGGATTAGTAGTTGTAGTTAGTTAATTCCAGATAAGAGATTTGAGAAACATTAGCCCCCTGCTGAATCTTAGGGGAAAATAATTTGAGAAAGAACAGAATTTCCAGGGAGAATTATAGCTGTTGCATGTGTGATTGACCAAGTAAAACTAAAAACTTCCCAAAGTATCACCAATATAGTGAGAGAGAAAAGAGCCTGCAAGTTGCATGAATTTTGCAGATTCCCACACTGTCCCGTGGACTACCAGTCCTTGCCAAGTGAGAGTCCATTTCCATGGGTGCCTTGCCTGGAGGAAACCTGTTGGACAGGTAGTCATATGTTGATCTAAGACTAGGCTGCAGGGCTCCCAATGTAGATGGGGGACAAATCAGGCTTCATGAAGGATTTGAGGTCAAGTTAAGGCTTTCACTAAGCTTGAGGTAGAGGTATTGGGAAATATTAACGTATATTTTTCCAGGAAAATTACAGTATCTCTGTGAGGATGAAGGTAATCTGGGCTCTGATTAAATTAGAATAATGGAAAGAGCCTGAGATAATGAACTGAGAAGATGAACTACTTAGAGGCTGAGACACATTCCAGACAACAGGCCTAGGGGCCCTGTGGGGAAGGCAACCTTAGATTAAGAAGTCCCCGATCAAAGGATACGGTCAACAAGGCAAAGCGACAGCCTACAGAATTGGAAAAGATCTTCACCAACCCCACATCTGACAGAGGACTGATATCCAGAATATATAAGGAATTCAAGAAATTAGACATCAAAATGCCCAACAGTCCAATTAAGAAATGGGCTATAGAGCTAAACAGAGAATTCTCAACAGAGGAAACTCAAATGGCCGAAAGACATTTAAGGAACTGCTCAACATCCCTAATCATCAGGGAAATGCAAATCAAAACAACTCTGAGATACCACCTTACGCCTGTCAGAATGGCTAAGATCAAAAACACTGAAGACACCTTATGCTGGAGAGGATGTGGAGCTAGGGGAACTCTCCTCCACTGCTGGTGGGAATGCAAGCTTGTACAACCACTTTGGAAATCAATATGGCGCTTTCTTAGAAAATTGGGAATCAATCTCCCCCAAGATCCAGCTATACCACTCTTGGGCATATACCCAAGAAATGCTCAACCACACCATAAGAGCACTTGTTCAGTTATGTTCATATCAGCATTGTTTGTAATAGCCAGAACATGGAAACAACCCAGATGCCCTTCAACTGAAGAATGGATAAACAAAATGTGGTACATATACACAATGGAATACTACTCAGCAGAGAAAAACAATGGCATCATGAGGTTTACAGACAAATGGATGGATCTAGAAAAAATCATCCTGAGTGAGGTAACCCAGACTCAGAAAGACAAACATGGTATGTACTCACTCATAGCAAGATACTAGACATGAAACAAGGATGACTTGTCTGCTACTCACATCACCAGGGAGGCTACCTGGAAAACAGGACCCCAAGAAAGACACAGGGATCACCCAATGACAGAGAAATGGAATGAGATCTACATGAACAGCCTGGACATGAGTGGCGGTAATGAAAGGCGAGGGTTGAGGGAAAGAGAGCTTGGGGGAGCGGGAGATCCCAGCTGGATCAACAACAGAGAGGGAGAACAAGGAATAGGAGACCATGGTAAATAAAGACCACATGAGAATAGGAAGAAGCAAAGTGCTAGAGAGGCCCACAGAAATCCACAAAGATACCCACACAACAGACTGCTGGCAGTGGTCGAGAGACAGCCCGAACTGACCTACTCTGGTGATGGGATGGCCAAACACCCTAATTGTTGTGCTAGAAACCTCATCCAACTACTGAGGGATCTGGATGCAGAGATCCATGACTAGGCCCCGGGTGGATCTCTGGGAGTCCAATTAGCGAGAATGAGGAGGGTTTATATGAGCGAGAATTGTTGAGACCAAGGTTGGATAAAGCACAGGGACAAATAGCCAAATGAATGGAAACACATGAACTATGAACCAATGGCTGAGGGGTCCACACTGGATCAGGCCCTCTGAATGGATGAGACAGTTGATTGGCTTGATCTGTTTGGGAGGCATCCAGGCAGTGGGACCAGATCTTGTGCTCATTGCATGAGTTGGCTGTTTGAAACCTGGGGCCTATGCAGGATTGTTTGGCTCGGCCTGGGAGGAGGGGACTAGACCTACCTGGACTGAGTCTACCAGGTTGACCTCAGTCTGTGGGGAAGGCTTTGCCCTGGAGGAGATGGGAATGGGGGGGGGGGGGGTTGGGGGGAAGGTGAGGGGGACGGGAGGGGGGAGAACAAGGGAATCCGTGGCTGATATGTAGAACTGAATTGTATTGCAAAATAAATTAATAAAAAAAAAAAAAAAGAAGTCCCCGATCAACATGATTTCAGGTTTCTTCACTAAAAGACTTAGAAAAGTTCTGCAACTTGATTGGTCAAAAACGAAGATAACTAAAACTTTTTTCTGATCTCCCCAGATGGATTGCTGAGGGAACTCTCTGAGCTTGGGTTAATTAAGAAGATAAATCTCAGTGACAAAGTTCCCTTGGGAAAGAGATTAAGGGGGAAGGGAAGCGAGGAGAAGGACAAATTCTCAAGTCTGTACAGTACTTTTATTGCTAGACTTCCTCCTAAGCTCCTGGATAGATTCCATCACCCTCCTCACCATGAGTGCAGGTTCCAGCAGCTTCTACAGCTCAACACTAGCCAGGCAGGAGTTTGTTTCTGTTGAGTCTATAGAACAACAGAAGCAACATGAAGTCCTTCTGAAGAGGTCAGTGATTTCTTAAAGTTCTGCCTCTGTGAAGGAGAGACTAGAGGGACTGGGTGGACAGTCTGGGACTTGGATGTCTTGGAGAAGCTGAAGAAAATGGAGCTGTGGCATTGGGGGGGGGGGTGGGCAGCAGCAGAGGGGACCGGTTCAGCCCGAGTCCTCCACACAGCATGCTCGTTCAGCCCTGTGCCGCTCTAATACTGATTGGAGAACTTCTTGCTGTGTCTGCTTTCTTCATTTTCTGCTGGTAATCCAAAGGCTGTGAAAGAAAAGCAGACATTGATCCCTTTGACCTTTCTAGCCTTGAAGTCTGAGACCTTCCATTAGAAAACAGCCACAGAGAACTAGAGAGGGCATTTAAAGGAAGGGCAGGGAGGAAGGACAGTGCTGAGGTGAGACAGGAGGGGAAGCTAAGGTGTGTAGGACTGAAGGGTTATGGCTGAACTAGTCTTGGCCCAGACAAGTAGTACTTAACCTATATCATCCACTCACACATTGATCAGCTGAAAAATTTCCACGTTACTTATGTGGGTAAAAAATACATGATATAATACATATATAAATATAAATATATTATGTATTATATATGGTATAAAAGATATTATATTGCTTATAACATATTTATATTATATTATATATTTATATATCATATATTCTAATCCTAGTTTGAAGATGTTGTTTTCATAGAACTTATATTCTCAAGTTATAAATGAAAAATAAATAAAATTAAATTTCCTAGTCTAATTTCTACACGATACTACTAGTGAACTAATTATTATGTACTCTATTTACTTCTCATGTGTGGTTTCACACATATATTCCCCTTGAATATAAATTCCACAGGGCAGGAATTTGCCACTTGTCCTCTTCATGGTTATCTTGTTTAATACTATAGGAGAGCAATAAACAATTAGACACATAACATCAGGTAATAAATACTGTGAAGAAAAGTGGAGTTCACTAATCAGCATGCTTCCTTGTATGAGAAAAGGTGATTGGAAAGAAGTTTTTGAGGTAATAGTTGAGAAGATAAAAGAACTAACAAAGAGAGAACCAGGTATCAGAGCTTCTGATGTTTTGGCATCTTATCTGTACCGGCTCTTGTCTTTCAATATTTCCAGGGCTTTTGAGGGAAAACGCAGTTAGAAAAGAGTGATTCTACTTTGAGAACTCATCACCACCCCCGAGTTTTCATATGGAGATATTGATGTTCTGTAATGTTTTAAAATCTGAGGATGGCAAGAATACCGGCCCAAGACACTGGCCTTTGTTCTGTTGGCCTCTGGATTGCTCTGTGTGGTGTTGTGGAGAACCGGTACTCAAAGTTCTGTCCTTTAACCTTTCTCTGGAATGCCATTGTCTTCTGGAACAGTTAATCCGAGAGGAAGAAGGATAATCCCATGACCAGGAGGATCTGTTTGATACTTCGAACTTGGAAACAAAAGTCAAAATCTAGTGATGGACAATCTCTCTAGTGCCACTGAATTCTGCCTGCTAGGCTTCCCTGGATCCCAAGAGCTACACCGCATTCTTTTTGCCATATTCTTTTTCTTCTATTCAGTGACACTGCTGGGAAACATGATCATCATCCTGATTGTTTGTGTTGATAAACATCTACAGTCCCCCATGTATTTCTTCCTCGCCAACCTCTCTCTCCTGGAGATTCTGGTAACAACTACAATTGTTCCCATGATGCTGTGGGGACTGCTGCTCCCTGGAATCCAGACAATATCTCTGACTGGATGTGTTGTCCAGCTCTTCCTTTATCTCTCTTTAGGCACCACTGAGTTTGTCGTGCTTGGAGCAATGGCTGTGGACCGTTATGTGGCAGTCTGCAACCCTTTGAGGTATAGTGTCATCATGAACAGTCTTACTTGCATCTGGGTGGTGATTGTGTCCTGGGTGTTTGGCTTCCTTTCAGAAATCTGGCCAGTTTATGCCACATTCCAATTTACTTTCTGCAAATCAAATCTGTTAGATCATTTTTACTGTGACCGAAGTCAGTTGCTCAAACTGTCTTGTAATGACACCTTTCTCACGGAGTTCATTCTTTTCTTAATGGCTGTTTTCATTATTATTGGATCCTTGATCCCCACAATTGTCTCCTATACCTACATCATCTCCACCATCCTCAAGATCCCCTCAGCCTCTGGCCGCAAGAAAGCCTTCTCCACCTGTGCCTCCCACTTCACCTTTGTTGTCATTGGCTATGGCAGCTGCTTGTTCCTGTATGTGAAACCCAAGCAAACACAGGCGGCTGAGTACAACAGGGTGGCTTCGTTACTGGTTTCCGTGGTAACCCCTTTCCTGAACCCCTTCATCTTCACTCTTCGGAATGACAAAGTCAAAGAGGCCCTTAGAGACGGAGTGAAGCGTTGCTGTCTGCTCTTCAGGGATTAGCTCTTCTCTTTATCACTCTTCGGTGGCATAACCTAGAAAATCTCAACTTCTCTCTTCCATTAAAGTTGCTGTCCAATCTGAATCCTGTGCGCAAACTGCAGTCATGCCATGGAAGATCTACTTCCAAACTCCCTCCAAAGGCACACCAATCAGATGGATCTCTTTTTATGCTACCGAGGACTTTGCAGACTTTGTGTCTGCCTCTTTGTACTGTTGAGCACAGGGATGAATGTTCTTGAAGACACTGGAGGGGCTAGGGAAAGGAAACAGTGTTTCTTAAGCATCCAATTTCTCAGTATCTGGCTCTGAAGATGTATTTCCTAGAGGCGAGAGGAGAAGAAAGATGGAGTGTGAGAGGTGTCATCAGCAGAGTACAAAGATAAGCATGAGCACTCTGGTTCTTCATCAACTTTGCTAAGTCATTCTCTGTATTTTAGTGCAATTACTTGACAAGATGTCCATCTACATTTTAAATGTCTTTGGCTTCTCTTTTTATTTTTAGATCATATTATGATTGTCCTGGCTCAATTGGTACATAATTACGAATGTAGCATTGTTTGTATATTGGCACAGAAACAATATACAATGGCAATGGGGCACATGGCAAACATTTCCTCTGATAAATCTTGGTAGTATCCAGAAGGAAATATTTGAGTACAGGAATGGGAAATATTTCTTTTCTTAAACTTCAGAGTATTGCATAAGCTGGCACTCTTTGAGTCAGGCATAGAAAAAAAAAACCAAAAATTAAATAGTAAATTAGATAGTGTTGTGTGTTACAGCTACTGAAACTGCCATTTCTGTTCAAACTTACCTCAGTCGAAGATTTCTAACTTCCAAGTTCAGTAGTCCCTGATACCTTCTAAATGATTTCTCTTTATGAAGTATTTAAAAGATGAGAGGCAATTCAAGAAATTGGGTTTGGGGGAAGTAGTTGTGGAATTTTGCATAATGTTAGAGGAAGGAGTTTATTTATATGGTGGTAGTCAGTAGATCTTACCATCTCTGAAGTGTGTGTGTGTACGTGAGTGTGTGTGTGTGCGTGAGTGTGTGTGTGTGTGTGTGTGTGTGTGTGTGTGTGTGTGTGTGTGTGTGTGTGTGTTAGGAAGTCCTCCGACACTCACTGCTAGGCAAGCACTGGATCACTGAGCCTCATCTCCAGATTGAAAAACTTCTTAACATCCTTATAGGAAGCGTTTGGTCTGTCAGCAACCAGTCCTTTTTTGTCTGGGATTGTCTCTCTTTTCCCTACATTTTGAAAAATAATTTTGCTGAATAGAGCATTATTTTCAGTTTTAGTTTTTATTGTGTAACATGGGTACTAGTTGTCATATGAGGGTTCACTAAGCACGTTACCTGGCACAAAGACTTGAGCACCGGGAAAGACAGAAGATCAAGCCACAGAGGAAGGAAATGTAATAGCTTTATCCAGTTGGGATGGGAGAGGCCTAGGGCTAGAACTACAAACAGATGCTGGATTGGGTGATTACAGGACGTCTGGCTCCTCCCCATTTCCCCATCGGTCACGTTTAGATCCGGTTCCTAGTACTTTCCCTCTAGTTCTTGCAATGTCTTCTGGAAACAAGAAGTCACCATGTCTGGGAGACTAATTCTGCTTTCCTCATCTATCTCTGTCCCCCAGTTGGACCTTGGATTTTATTTTCTGTTGGTATTTAGCACTCTACCCACTTCCTTCTGGTTGTAATTGTTTCTAACTAGAAGTCAGTTGCTGATCTTACAGAGTATCATCACCTATGAATTTGGTTGAAAAGAATATTGTTTTCTTGTCTTTTTTTTCCCCCACAGAAATTGTTGTAACTGTCTTTGAATTTATTTTTTGAGAAATATATTGACTTCTGTGGATGTGTAGATTAATGCTTTTCTTTTTCTTTCTCTTTTCTTTTTTCTTTTCTTATTTTTACTAAATTTAGGAAATGTCCAATAATGATCTGTTTCTGTATTCTCCTGTTTTTCTCATACTCTCATTAGGTATATGTTGGTATACTTAAAGATGTGTCATAATTATCTGAGGTTGCTCCTTTTTTTCAGGGTTTAGTCTTTGTTCTTTGAACTTCATAATTCATTTTGATACATCTTCAAGTTTATTCATTTTTTTCTTGAAATATACTGTTGAGATCCTCTAGGAAATATCCATTTCATGCATGGTACTTTTAAATGATACGGTTTCTAATTTGATCTGTATTCCTTAGTGCAGAGAAACAGGGTCATCATACTTTAATTTTATAAGCACTGTTTCCTTCAGCTCTTTGAATATGTTTAAATTGAATTTTAATGTGACATACTGCCTCTCACACATGCAGTTTCTGTAATCTACTTTTCCTCTTGTGCATGGGTCATTCTTTACTGCTTCTTTACAGGTGCTATTATCTTGGGTTGAAAGGTAGACATTTCAGATATTAAATTGTTTATTGCAGGTACTGGATCCAGTATTGACAGCTTGATTGCAATTATTTTTGTCAGTTTGCTTAATGTTCTGGATGAACTATTTTTGTGTGGTATGTGTCCCTGACTATGTACCCTATAGAATGACTCCTCAGAGGATAGAGGCTTTGACATCCATGAAGTCTTCCTGAGGTGATGGTGACTTTACACAGGGTGTTTTTTTATGTAATTCTGATCACATCCAGCTGTTAGGCTCTGCAAATTGCCACCTGGTTGTTTGTTTGGAATCCTCTGTCTGGTGACTTAATACAACTTGACTTGTAAACAAGACTATTCTTGAATTAGCTATCAAAACATCTATTCTCCTTCAGGTAGACTTTTTGGGAAATTGTGAAATTTAAGAGCACTTAGGTATATCCTTTCCACATCCTCTAAACAAGCAATTATACTCAGGCTGCTCATAGCCTCACATTCTTCAGGGAATTTTCCTTGACTGGGAAGCAGCCATCTCATGAAGGAAGTTTATATTTTACTCCTACCCAGTCCAGGATAGGTGGCTGATATAAAGACAAAAAGTCATTTGATGGCAGATGTCAGTGAACATATCTCTTTGTCAGATGTCAGTGAGCATATCTCTTTGGAGGTATTGACATACCTTATTAGACCATGAAGGACATAAAACTAAGAATTTTTTCCTCTTGGTGGGCTAGTATTTCAGAAATTCAAGGACATGGGAACTGTAAGAACTATATAGCTTGGTAGATACTCTTTAGTGACATTAATAATAGACATTAATAATAGAAAATAATAGACTCAGTCTATTTCCAGCAATACAGCAGAGTTGAGAGTTTATTAGTTCATTTTCTGTTGCTATAACAAAATACCCATAGCTGAGTACTTTATAAAGATGAGAAGTTCAATTTTCCCCCTATGCTGGATTCTAAGAGCTTGATACAAGCATCTTCTTGGTTCCAGTTATGGGGATGATGTGGTGGGTGCCATTAAAATAAAGAGAGTACAAGCAGGAGTGGTCACGTGGTAAAACAGGAAGAAGAATGGAAACTGAAACAACCTAGATGACATGATTCTTCCCACCCCACCACCTTTTTATTATTTAGGGATAAGTTTTCACATATACTGTAGCTCAGGATGGCTTGGAACCCATCAGGTGGCCTAAGATGGTCTAAAACTCATAGCAATCCTCCTGCTTCAGCTTTCTGGATTACCTGATTATTAACATTGTATTCTAATGTAAACCATTGCACTCAAGGTGACAAGCATCAATCTGTTGGTGGATAGTGACATCATTGCCCTCTAGTCTTTGTATGGAGATTTCTGTGATGATGCAAATGAGAACTATGAATATCAATATTTCATGGTGTGCTACTTGCCTTTCTGTTGCTGTCATGAGACACTATGACCAAGGCAACTTAGAGAAGAAAGATTTTATTCAGGGATTATGGTTTCAGAGTGTGAGTCCATCACCCTTATGGTGGGGTGCTGTGGGATAATGCTTTTGTACACTGGTTTAATAAAATGCTGATTGGCCAGTAGCCAGGCAGGAAGTATAGGCAGGATAAGCAGACAAAGAATTCTGGGAAGAGAAAGGCTGAGTCAGGAGTTGCCAACCAGACACAGAGGAAGCAAGATGTGAAGGCAGAACTGAGAAAAGGTACTAAGCCACATGGCTAAACATAGATAAGAATTATGAGTTAGTTTAAGTGTAAGAGCTAGTCAGTAATAAGCCTGAGCTAATGGCTGAGCAGTTATAATTAATATAAGCCTCTGTGTGTTTCCTTGGGGGATGCCAGTGGGAGAGATTTGTCCTGACTGCTGGCCAGCTGGGACACAGGAAAACTTCACAGCAAGTAGACAGGCATGGCATTGGAGTAATAGCTGAGAGTTTATATCTCAACCCACAAGGACAAGGCAGAGAGAGAAAAAGAAAGAGAGAGAGAGAATGCTAACTGGAAATGGTGTGTGTTAGCATTGAGATGCTCAAACCCGCCAAGGCCTTTCGTGTGCCATTTTACAACAGTGTGGGCTTTTGAAACCTCAAAGCCCACCTCTAGAGGTATACCTCCTCCAACAAGGCCATACATCCTGATCTTCGCAAACAGTTCAACCAACTGGAAACCCAGCATTTCAATATATGGACCGATGTGGGCCATTATTACTCAAAGCACTGTACTTGGCCAGAATCAATGACCTGATCTCCTGATGAAAAATACAGTCCCTTCTCTTACTTGAGGAGTATACCGAACTCAAGTGATCTCTTCCCAGGTGAGTCTAAGTAGTTTCAAGTTGACAATTCAAGCTAGCTGTCACAAGTGGAATGATCAGATATTTACAGGACAGTAGGACAAAAGCAGTGCCAGAGAAGATACGGTATCAGACTGTTAGGAGGTACTCAACCTATAAGCCTCTCACACATTGCCTTAGAAGACAGTATTTGCCTTCCTCACAGTCTGATTCTACCTTATCTTCTTCTAAAAGGATGGCAATAGATTTTACTCTCAACATAGACTCGAGAACTGAAGCTACCAGCGAATTGGAGACATTATACACCAAAGCTACAGAAAGACTGGCCTGGCATGCACCAGAAAATGTATGGCTGGAGAGGATTCAGAGAGCAGGCTATTAGGGGGAGTGCTTGGAATATGAGGCTGGACAAAGGAGAAGTGCAGATTTGGAGGTATTCCTCCATCATGGATAATTTAACACTTTAGCCAATGGTCTATAAATAGGCTGATATATGCCATTTGTTGACTCATAAAATTTTTCAAAAAGTAATAACCTTTATTAAAGTGATAGACCTGCCCAGTATAGCTGTGGAAAAGTATGGCAGGAGGAACTAGATGACTTAGAGAGTGGAAAAGCTATAATTGATGTGCATTAGACAGAAAATCCTACCAGCTGATCCTGTTCCTCAGAGGCCTGCAGGACACTCTATTAAGTAAGGTCATTTTCAAAGTGCTATTAAAGAGGGTATCACTTGCGATGGCTTGTTGGGAGCCACTGTTTCAGAGCCGGGCTCTCTAGTAGCAGGACACACAGCTGGCCACAACAGCAAAGGACAGATGGATTAACTGTCAGATGGAAACATACTCACCTAGCTTAGGAGGCAGAACGGTTGATATGTCAGAAAGGAGTGATATGAATGAGGATCTTAAAAGAAGGACAATATAACATGATGTTTATGGGTAAAATACTGAAAAGTGTACTACTTAGAATACCTAATCAAAAGGCATTGGGTAAATGAGAGGACTACATGCCGTCACTCTAATGGAAAGTCATGATCCTTCCCACAGGCTCCAGATTTGAGCCAGTTATCATTGTTTATCAAATGGGGAGGGGGGAGCTGTGGCATTCAAATGGAAAGGATTCTGCAACACAAAGAGAAAAGATCCAGTAAAAATTCCTTCACCATGACCCAAGTGGCCATCAGCCATCTTCACAGATAGCCACAACTATAAAAGAGAGTGTTCTAGTTTTATTTCTGTTGCTGTGATAAGTTATCCTGACAAAAAACAAACAAAAAACCCCAACAACTTAGAGGTGAAAGGAGTTTATTTCATCTTACTCCAGATTACAGATCATCTTGATGGAAAATCAAGGCAGGAATTTCAAACAAGCCTCAGATCACATGCACAGTAGAGAACAAAGAATATATACAATGCTCACTTGCTCACTTGCTCGTTTGTGCTCAACTACACTTTTCCACTCTCATACAGCCCAGGACCTCCTGTCTAGTGAATGATGTCACCCATAGTGATCTGAGTCTTCCCATATCAATTAACTCAATTAAGACAATACCCTACCCACAAACAAACCCAATGTAGACAGTTTCTTATTGAGGCTCTCTTCCCAGGTGATTTTGTTTTGTTTTTGTTTTTTTTTTAAGTTGACAATTAAAGCTAGCTATCACAAGAGGGATAATCTGATATTTATAGGGCTATAAGACAAAAGCTATCAATGGACTCCTTAGAGAAGATACAGGCTGTTGGTGCAGTACTCATCTAGAGCTATCTCACACTGGCTCAACTGGATCCTCTCCCTTTTCTTGTCTTTATTCTCTTCTTCCTTCATTCTCTTTTCCTCTCAGCTAATACTTCTCCAGTTTCTCTCTCTGTCTCCTTCTTGGATTTCTCTGTCTCTCTCTCTTTCTGTTATATACATGTGCATGCACACACACACACACAAACACACACACAAACACACACACACACACACACACACACACACACACACACACACACACATGCACATACATGGGGCAGCAGGAAACTATCAGGAATTATGCTAGGTTCTGAGAGTTCAGAGATGGAATCCAGATTGGTTTGTTCATTAAAGAGTTCAGCCC